AAAAAAAAAAGACTTATCTCCAATAAACCACCAGAAAACCGGAAGTGGCTCTGTGGCTCAAGTGGTAGAGTGCTCACCTTGAGCTAAAGAGCACAGGGCCATTGCCCAGGCACAAGTTCAAGCCCCACAACTGACAAGGGGAAAAAAAAAGATGGAAATTAAAATTTTCCGTTGTGGGGAGAAAGATTTTTTTTTAATGCTTAGACATTTTTATTAAAATACAAAAGGATGAAGCTAAGTAGAAAAACATAGTAAATATTTATAAAAACATTGATAATATCACTCAAGAAACACATATAAAAAGATTTTTTTTTGTCAGTCATGGAGCTTGAACTCTGGGCCTGGGCGCTGTCCCTGAGCTCTTCAGCTCAAGGCCAGCTACCACTTGAGCCACAGTACCACTGCCAGTCTGGTAGTTAATTGGAGATAAGAGTCTCCCGGACTTTTTTGCCCAGGCTGGCTTTGAACTTTGATCCTTAGATCTCAGCCTCCTGAATAGCTAGGATTACAGGTGTAAGCCTGGCTCAGGAGAAAGATTTTTTAAAAAGACTTCACTGGGCACCAGTGGCTCACACTTATAATCCTACCTATTCAGGATGCTTAGATCTGAGGATCATGATTCAAAGGCAGCCTGGACAGGGACGTCTATGACTCTTATCTCCAATTAACCAGCAAAAAGCTGGAAGTGGAGCGGTAGCTCAAGTGGTAGAGCACCAGCCTTGAGTGAGCACCCAGGCCCTGAGTTCAAGCCCCAATACCAGAACACAAGGAAAAAAAAAGATTTCAATTAGAAGATGTGGCACATAAATGTAAACTTATAATCTCAGCTACAATGCAAGTAGAATTTCAAGTTCTAGGCCAGCTGGGTTAAAGTTAGCAAGATCCTATCTCCAAAACAAGGGCAGGGGACATGGCAAGTGTGAGAGAGTAGGCTAGGTTTTTTTTTTTTCCTTATTGGGAAAAAAAAAAAAAACTTTGAAAAATGAAAGGTATTACTATTCCCCTCATCCTGTCCTCTCACTGTCCTTCAGCCTTTCTCCACAGATATTTTAGGGATGAATCAGACAACAAAAACAAATGATCCTTACTTCCTGGATGAAGTGAGATGGGTGGGGAAAATTATTAAAGGTAGTACCAAGTCTGACTTTCACACAGGAAGGTCAGGAAATACAAATAGCCTAAAAAAAGGCCCGGGCTGGAAAGCCTGGAACTTGGGTTTCAGGGCAGACGTTCTAAAAGCCAAACACATCAATGACTCGGGACAAGAGGTTTTGGTACTGCACGCTGCATGTCCGCTACACATACTGGCTCTTTCTCCTTGGGTAGAAATCTGTCTGTTACTATGGGGAGAAGGAGCGAAGGGGTGAAGTCTGAGCGCGTGGGAAAGTGCGTGGGCTGTGGAAGAGCCGGAGGGAGGATACGCTGTAGCTTGACGTTGTTGAAGAGTGGGCTCTCCTGCGCTTCCATCACCGTCATGCTGGACTGTTTGTGCAGGCGGCAGAAGGACAGGACCAGCGAGCACCAGGCGGCCAGCTGCTTCTGCCGAGTGTCCACGTTCGGCTGTAACCTGCCAGGTGAAGGGGAGCCGGGCGCAGAATTAGATGGCGTGAAGAGACGAGAGGGAGCACTTGCCCAGGGACGCGTCTGGGGGAGAACCCGAGAGACTGAGGATGGTGGCGGGCGGGTCCTTTCTCCCCCTCCCCAAATAAAGCCTCAAAGCTGAGCCCAGGGGAGAGGAGGGAGGCACAGCGGGGCTTCTCGGGGTCTGAGCCTCACGTAAAGAAGGGCGGGAAGCGATACTGCCACGGCCACTCGAAACTCATCGCCATCGTAGTAGCCCAGGAAACCCGGAACCTCCCGACAAGGGACTTCCTGTCTCCACTTCAATACTTCCGGAAAGAAAGCACGGCAGAAAGGTTCCGGAGCCCCTGTCTCAGGAATGGCACACGGTCCTTCTGGGGAGTTGTCATTGTCCTCAACGACCCTACAATGATCCTAAAAAAAATTCTCTACTCTGTGGAGTAGAAAAGGCCTGGGGCAGGAAAGTCTTCTGACTCAGACTCAGAAGAGGGAACCGTGGAATGCAAGTAGAACCCAGGTTTCCAGACACCAGGATACGGTTGTTTCCACTGACCTAGGATTTAATTAATTTTAACTATTATCCCCCAGCCCCTGGCAGTACTGAGGACTAAACTCAAGACAGGTGCGGTACCACTGGAGCCATGCCTCCAACCTCTTTTTTGCATTGGTTATGTTCAATAAAGGGTCTCCCTTTAGGCTCAGGCAAGCCTGTGCTGCCATTCTCCTCTTGGTGCTTCCTCTTCAGGGTCTCTGGAGATGATAATAAGCCACTGCATCCAAACATTGTGCTTCTCCTGTAGTGGGGATAACAGGCAAGCACAACCGAGTCCAGCCAGTGAGATGAAATCTCTTGGCCTAGAACTAGTTTCCCCATCTCCTATGCATTACAGGCTTGAGCCACCACACTAACTGAAACTTTTCATTTAAACTCTCAGGAGCCCGTAATCTCCTCCATTCCTATGTCCTTTGACTCTACCATTTCTTAGTCTTCTGCAGCACCCATGGGAGCATATTTTGTAGCTTGTATCACTTAGCAATGGCTCTTTCCCTCCAAAGATCTGGAGCTACCATCTATCTCCAAGAACTCCTCGAGGTCTCACCTGACTTCTTATCCAGCCCAGACTACTCAATTCTACCTTCTTGCTTGCCTACCAGCTGGCTAGTTGCCATAGCTCTTGGCTATGGAGAAATCCTGGGACAAGGGGTAGGAGTAGGGGGGCAGGATCAGGATCAATAGATGTTTACTGAGCCCTAGACTCCCTTTCTAATCTCACTACTAGTCTCTGGGCAACACCATGACTGTTTGTTTTCATTGATTCTTACAACCCTCAATTTAACTATTCAGATTTTTTCCATGTTCATCAAGCCATTCCGCTTGTCCCCACCTCTCTGCTTCCTACTAAGTGACTTTTACTCCTGTTTTATGAGAGAAAAACCAGGCATTCAATGTCCTCATCTTTCACCATATTTATTGTAGCCCTCAAAAATTACTCTCCACTTTTATTCCTTCTTTCATTTTGCTTCAACAGAAGAAATGTCTCTTCATAAGGCATATCTTTGGTGTATCTTCTTTTTTTGGGGGGGAAGGTCCAGTTGTAGGGCCTGAGCTCTGGGCCTAGGCGCTGTCCCTCAGCTCTTCAGCTACCACTTGAGCCATAGCACCACTTCCGGCTTTTTTTTTTCTGATTATGTGTTGCTGAGGAATCGAACCCAGGGCCTCATGCATGCAAGGCAAGCGCTCTACCACTGAGCCACCTTCCCAGCCCCTGGTGCATCTTGTTTCTCCTTTCCAACTTTTTCTAGGACCTCTGTATCATCTTAGCTCTTTCCCTTTCTCCTGGTTTCTCTTTCTCAGGCTACAACCATGGGAATATCTCTATTCAAAAATATATATGGGGGGAGAGTTGGGTGGAGGGACCAGAGGAGGATAGGAAGGGATAGGAAGGGGATAGGGATAGGGAAGGGATAGGAAGGGGAAACAAAGGAGGAGGCTACAATGCTTGATAAGAAATGTACTCATTATCTTGCCCATGTAATTGTAAACCCTCTGTACAGTATTTTCACAATTAAATATATATATATATCAGCTGGGTGCCAGTGGCTCACCCTATAATCCTAGCCAATCAGGAGACTGAGATCTGAGGATCCCAGGTCAAAGCCAGCCAGGCCAAACATATCCTAGAGACTTCTTATCTTCAATTAATCAGCAAAAAAGCTGGAAGTAGAGGTGTGGCACAAGTGGTAGAGCACCAGCCTTGAGTGAATAAGCTAAAGGACAGCACACAGGCCCTGAGTTCAAGTCCCAGTTCCAACCAGCACACACATACACACACAGGCACACATACCACTATACACACACATATATGTCCACACACTATATATGAATACACACACGTGCACACATACCTATGAATCCCCAACCTTCCACCTCTTTTTCCTATCCTTTAACCTTTTCCTCCCTCCTTCATGGTGCAGTTTTTGGCACAATATAACTAAAAACATTTGCTGAATGAATGAACATTGACAATGGTTATTCAGATATCACCATTACCTTTGTTCCTATGACATAATTTTATCCTTTCTGCTACTATTTCTCTGATCTTTCCCTCTGTTTTCATTTGCCCTTCTCATTCTTTTTGTTTGTTTGTTTCTTGAGACAGGGTCTCATTATGAAGCCCAGGCTGGTCTCAACCTTATGACCCTCCTGAATGCTGGGATTCTAGGCATGAGACACCACACCAGCTTTCCCTTCATTCTCTGTTGTTGTTGTTTTTGGTCACGGAGCTTGAACTTTGGGCTTGGGTACTGTCCCTCAGCTCTTCAGCTCAAGGCGAGCGCTTACCACTGGAGCTACAGTGCCACTTCCAGTTTTCTGGTGGTTTATTGGAAATAGAAGTCTCACAGTCTTTCCTGCCCAGGCTGGCTTTGAACTTTGATCCTCAGATCTCAGCCTCCTAACTAGCTAGAATCCATGAGCTATCAGTGCTCGGCCATTTTTTTTTTTTTTTTTTTTGGTCGGTCGTGAGACCTAAACTCTGGGCCTGGCCACTGTCTCTGAGCTCTTCAGCTCAAGGCTAGTGCTCTACCACTTGAGCCTCAGTGCCACTTCCA